ACATTCACTCAACAGGAATCGCATTCAACAGGAGTCGCATTAAACCTCCTGTGCCCCGTACAACTTAGGGTTACTGCCACAACTCACCCTTCCATGCTTCACAGCATGTGTCCTTACACCCTCCTGTGTCAGCGGTTGGCCCGAACCCATCGCTCATTGCTAACCTCGCTGAAGCAATACCTTCTGCACCTGAATGCCCGCAATTTCCATATCCCCAAATAGGACGTGCAGAAACGGTTACCAATTTCCACTTAACAGCGTTAGCACCCAGAGTGGTGTAAGTCCGCGGTCCTTACGCTCTAGATAGGCAAAGGAGGACCTCCATCTCCTGCCCGCCAGGTCAAACCATCGCAACAACACACAGGACCACTATCATCAATTAAAGTGAGCCCCCAGCCCACCATTTCAGACGTACCATGGAGGGTCTAGACCTCTGGGCCATCAGGTAAAACCATCTGCCGCAATACGATGGGACCACTACTCCCGAGCAATGCGAACCCATAGCCCAGCGATTTAGATGTGCCACGGAAGGTCTCGATCTCCGGGCCATCAGGTCAAACCATCTCCCGTAACACAATGGGACCATATCACTCATGTCAGGCGAATCTCTAGAGACTCCTTGAATATTGCCTGAGCCAACTATCACTCGCCAAAGGGGGGAATCCTTGTAATATTCATGGCCCCATGGCATCCGAACACACTGCGGTCATTCAACACTTTCGGGCCATCCCAGTCAGGATTCGTGCCCCAGAGATTAGGCCACAGCCAGCGTCTCAATCCAATACTGGCACCCCATCTCATCCACAACGTCCTAATTACCTCCGTTCGCCGCTACACAAGCAATACCCCCAGCGAACCACAACGATCCCTTAATCTAAAGGGCTTCATGACAAAACGACTCCAGAATCACAAATCCAAGGCACTCACCCCTGAACACATAAATTCACACCATACACACCATCTACAATTCCCGAAGAACCAACAACCCCAACTACTACTCGGCCCACCAGCTTTCACCACTGTGTGCCCCAGTTCGGCCTCTATGAATCCCAAATGCGTGAGGTGAGTTTTAGCGGTTGGGTGTCTGGTGCATCGTGACTCGCCTGGGCCGGCCCGTAGCTGTCGATGAGACGGTGGATGCAAGGGGCTCCATGACAACCCCCCAGGGTTGCCAGGGCACCCACGACGAAGGCGCCGAATCAGACCGGGATCGTCACTCCCGGAGCCGTCCTGGCATTCCCCCTCGCCGCCGGACCCCTCCACGATTCGTTGCTGTCACTTCCCCCATAGACTCCGTTTCTTCCTGCGACGACTCACGACAATCTTGGATGGTCGGCCAGCCCATTTGTCTCTTAGCCGAGGTTTACTGATCCCTGCTTCCACCCCAGACCATCTTCACCAGGTTTCGCCCAATTGCAGGCACAACTCGGGCCTGACAGTGAGTCATATACTGCCGACATCTCCTTGTAGGCTGCCTGAAGCATGGCCCTCCTCTTCTCCGGAATGACCCTGAACACTGCGAGGCCATCATCGTCAAGAGCCGTGGGCAAAGCAGCCAACGCCTCTTCCTCTGTCCAGCCGACAGACCGGTACGCTGCTCCAAACCGGTGGGTGAAGGCACTTTGCCTCCCACGTAGGCTTCAAAATGGCAGCCCCCGACCGCGTGGTCTCAACACGGGAACCCCGACCGCAGGCGGCCGCTCCATCATCCCCACCCGGCTTCGCCACTCGTCCCCTGCTGCATTGGCTCCCGAAGTCGCCACTCTCCTCTTCGACATCAAGTCAGTGACGATCAACCGGAGCCGATCTGCCTCTGCCATCAGGGCTTGCCACTCCTCTGATGCAGGTGCCGTATTGTCAGCACCCTCAGGCTTCGTTACTGAGCTCCCGGCTCCAGGGGATACTGGGGGAACTCTTTGGCCATCTCCCTTCTCTGTCTCTGAAGATGCTACAGGTGGGCTCTAACTATTTATTCTCTTTGGCATTTTACAATAGCCAATTCTGACGCCACTGTAATGTAGCTCTCAGAGACACTGTATTTTATTTCTGTATATTTTTTGGAATAAAGACCACGAGTGACTATATACACTTGGTTAGTTAGACGACTCTCTTCTGGGACAACATAGCTTCTAGTCTCAAGACATCTTGAAGACGATGGAGACGACCCGTTCCAAGGCGAAAATGACGACGGTGATTCCCCACACCAACAGCCCCCCAGGTCCGGTTCACGCCGGCTCATATGCCTCACCCGGTCCGGCCATGGCCCTATTCTTGGATTCTCCTCGCCGCACTTGCCCTGTCAATCTTTGCCCTGATTACACTTCCCAGCCATTGGATCCTGCGCTCCACCTCACATGACCCTGTCAATGTTTGTTTCATCAGTCATCACTACACGTCTATTAGTCACCATACTGTCCCACTATCACTTTGTGCTGTCTTTACACATGTGTAGTGTGAGTCACGAGACACACAAAGAGATCTGAAGGCACCACGATTCATTAGCAACTAACAGGGCTACGGGTTAACTACACTCTGGGTTATCCTATACCCCGTTGGGTCTCTATGTAACATAAATCCCCGACGACCGACTACCCTAAAACCAAACAAAGCGATGTCGCACGGTGAGTTCCCTCTCCCAGACAACCACGATCGCTCCGCCCCCATCCCTCTTATCCTCTTGAGCGTGGCCACGCTCCGCCTCCGGCCACACCCCCCTGCTCGGTCTCTCCCAATGGAACCAGGGCCAGCATCACGTGTCCTTCCGGGCCCCCTTCACTACCCTGTGTCAGCACGTCCCCTCTCTCTGCGATGAGACAATGCTCTCTAGGGCCCACATCTCCGCTACATCTCTGCCGGCACCAGAGAGAGGTATGTACGTACTAATTTACAAGTTGTGAGTGTAGCCGGTGTGCACACCATAGAGACTCTATTTACATCTCTACCCATGTGTAGTGACATAGAATGGGTCACTATGATGCGTAGCACTGGTTACTGACAGAGAGAGGGAATGTGGGCCGACCTACCAGCAGAGCAGGGTGTGGCAGCCGTTCAGCCAGCAGAGCATGCAATGCCATGGAGTTGGTCACTAGGGTGCATGGCGCTGGCTGCTGGCAAAATGGGGCATATGAGGACGTGGCACCCCGGCCGGCTAGTAGAGCACGTGATAGGCCAGGGCAAAGGATGTGGGGCAAAGGTGACCGAGGGGACACGTGAGGTATAGCCCAGAACCTTCTGGTGAGTTCAAAAAGGGGGTATAGCCAAGGTCGGAGCCAGGCAGGGGACACGTGGAAGGTGGCCCAGAACCGTCTGGTAGGTTCCAGAAGGAGGCGTGGCCAAGGGCGGAGCCAGGCCACGACGGGGAGGGGGGGGGCATTAAACGAAAGTCCCAAGGCTGGATAAGGGCTGTCTGTCGGTGGAATGGAACCCAAGGTGCTACATCATCGTCTCCAGCGTCGTGGATTCAGACAGCGTGCTGGCTATTCTGACCCATTTATAGTTATCCCGTGTGTGAACAATGTCCAAAGATGTAGGACAAACGTGTGTTGCCTCCTACTATTAGTGTCTCAGAAGTGACTCACTACACATGGTGCACGTGGGCTCTCAATATAAAGTAGATCCACTTTTTGTAAATGGATGCGATTCTTCCGGAATTGGCAGCTAATTTATTGAAAAGATTATCATCCAAAAAATAACGATTTCATTCAAAATAAAAAAATATAACGTTGCACTTGAAGAAGAAAATGGTTAGTCAACGCTTACTGTCTACTATTAGATAGCTCAGAAACGTGGTAACAAATTAAACAACGCGTCAACCTGATGCAAAGAAAGCACGGAGAGTTTTAAACTAAGAATGAACGCCTGTTTAAATAAAGAGCATATGGATTAAAACACAGATCCAGGTTAGAGGCAGCAATCTGACTGTTAACGATACATAAGTGGGGCAAGGGTAAGATTCGTCGCTGAAACTATGGAATTCGCATTCATTTCAATGGCCTAAGTCCGCTGTCGTGATTAAGCAGGGTGGAAATTCTGTCCAGAGTGTTCCTATTTAAATTATGAAAAGGAAACATTATTTCACAAAGCCCATAGAAATGTGTAGAAGAAAGAAAAAAGCAATTTTTAATTTCTATGCCCTTTCAGTCAGTTCAAGAATAGCTCAAAGGATGGCTTGTAAGAAATGTCACGCCACAAAATTGTGGACATAGCTCACAAGCTAAATATAGAAATTAACACAAGCAGCCCTCAAGGTGAGCAACCTCTGCTCTCGTCGCATCTCATGATGACGTATGCCTCCTTCAGTTTGCTGCTTGGATTCGTCGACCTAAGTGTTGCTCTATTGGACGTATACCGCACATCACGTTAACTAATACAAAGTGAACGTGTCTACGTTTCTAAACCAGTCGTCTCACCAACAGCAATTTGCACTCGCAGTGTGAAAAAAAAATGAATGCAGGATTAATGTTTGCACGAATTAGGCTATTGTTCTCATCAACTTTAATACACAAACACCAAATGTTACATGGTAGATGTAAGTGCCCCGAGGTGCAATTACAGGGTGAGGTTAAATTAAAGTAGCGCCTTTGATTGGCAGACCCGTTTTTGTAAGTGGGCTGCGTATTATTGCCTGACGGTTTTGACTCGCGCTGCAACCACACGAACTCGTTCGGCATCATACATGAGAAACTCTTAATGCACATTTGCCTGCCGATTTACAGGGCGAACAGTCTTTATTTAAACTGGAAGACTCCGATGAGCTATGCAGCTCTTTTTCACCAGCGTCCAATAGGTGTGGGTCAGAAAGTTAGAACAACAAACAATACAAAAACACGACGGGAGTGCAAAGTATCAGAAATCTAAGCAAGTCACGAAATATAAATAAAAAATAAATAAAGTATATACTTACCAATTGCATAATGTTGGGTGCGTGGGCTTTTGAAATATAATATTTCCACTTTTCTGGAAATGGACATGAATCTCAAGAAATCAATGACTGAAACATGTTTTACCAGTATTTTCCTTTATTTACAGAACAACATTTTACAGTTTTTTTACAGCGGTTTTGCTGACGTCACATTCAGCAATTATGCGAGACGGGTGTGTTACTGTGACGTCGATTCAACGCCTGCATCCGATTGGCCACATGGGGCCCAGCCACCAACATCCGGTGGCCTCCAGCATGAGCATATATATTAGGAAGAGATGCAAGGAGCCTTTCTGAGACCACTGCTGGTGCCAGGGCCTGACGCCGAGAGAAGTGGGTGACTCAATCACTGAAATTCACAGGGCGAGTATTGGTGGTGAGGTGTGTGTGGGTGTCGGGTGTGGTGAGCAACAGTGTAGCGTTCTAGATTTGAAGTTTTCGTGACTGCACGGACTTCAGTAAAAAATCTATTGCTGTGGTTGTCACACCTGATTATTATTGCTTGTGTTGCAATCGAAACGTCGTGATTTAAAAAATGTTCTCACCTACGTGACTAAACCCGGCGGCCTGAGTTCGATTTTCACTCACACCCAAAACCAGTAACGATTTTCTGAACTGGTCCTGGGTCTCTCCTAGGTCAATTCAGCTTAAAATAAGTACCTGGTGTGGTGTGTAAACATCATAGGTACTCGCTAACAGCACTTTCCCAAATTGTCTGTATAGCCTATACGGGGATCTTTGTGTTTGGTGTAGGGTGTGAGGTGTATGGTATGGGTAGCTGGGTGTTTGTGGGGAGGTTTGGTTTGGGATTGTGTGTGTTTATGGTGAGCAGTGGGGCAGCGGTTAATTGCACTGCGCTTTGACCCGAGTTTGATTCTCACAGTTGCAACTATCTCAACCGGTCCTTCGCCTTCCTTAGGTCGATCAGCCTTTAATAACTACCTGGTGCACTGTATAAATATAATCACTGACGAAGGTGGTGCTGGTGTTGGAGCAAACGCTGTTAGCAACCACGTATGAAGGCCGGCATGGTACACGAGGGGGTGAGTGGCCAGCACAACGCCCGGCCCCCTTTGTCTCCCCAAGTGGCAATGTTGACACATCACATCAGGTACCTATTTGAGGAAAATTAAACCTAGGGGAAGCCCATGACCGGTTCAGATAATCCGTCACTGGTGTTGGTGGTGTCCGTGAGCAGCAATTGAAATCGGGACACTGGGGATCGTAAGCATAGTGAGCTAACTGTTGCAGCACCGGTCCCCAAAACCTGTTTGTCAACCAGGGATACGCAGACCCCTGGGGTTACATGGAAATGTCCCAGGGGGTACACGAGGTGATTTATTAATGCGTGATATTATATCATAATCCGAACAATTGGTGAATAATCATGTATGAATCTGACAATATAAAATTACCACGATTAAATTTGAATACATTTGGTAACCTACAAAGATATAAAATACCTTTCTAAACTCGTTGATCGGAACAATATGGTTTTCAAGAGTAACCAGCGAGCACAAAGTAATTACATCACGCATGCAGAGGGTCCGTTAATTTTTTTTGTATTTGCTTGCAGTTACTTGCCAGTTAGGATACCTCATGAAGTGCAAAATTGGGTCAAACTATTGACGTTCATTATTCATACATTTCTCAGAAACATGTCGGGTCAGGCAAAGGGGGTTACTCGGTTGAAACAAAATTCAACGAAGGGGTACAGCAGTAGCCAAACAAGGTTGAGAACCACTGCCTTAAACGACCCCCTTCTCACCCCTATTCACACTCACTTTAGCGTCACCGCAACCTCACCACACTCACCCCCCGCGTTCCCTAATTTGCATTCACCTCAACGTCACCGCGTAAAGCCTCGCACTACACTACGCCTCGCACACTACACTACACTATACAGCACACACTACAATACAACACACTCCTGTACACTATATACTACCCACACTAAATTATACGCACTAAATTACAATACACACTAAACTATGCACCGCCCATATTGCACATTACACTTTCTTTCAAGCTGTTTTTGCATTGAGTCTGTTGTCCTTCCTCCGCACCTTCAGATTAGCACGGCTGGCTACGTATTGTATAAACATTTTTCATCATACGATATACAACACTCTGCATTGTACTATACTATGCATTCCACTATACACACTATGGTACACACTACATGATTAAACCAGATTCTGAGTTGCAGTAATTCCAAGCTTAATTTGGCGGAATACTTGTCTCTAGGGATGTACAGGCAGCTGGATGTGGTGCTGGTCAGATCACCCCTCTGTGTGCTTTGTAAGCTTTAATAGGTGCTTACAGCACATGTTGCCTGTTTGGCTCAATGCATGCCTCTGTGTCTCTGGGCAGGTGAACCATGTTGGGGGCATTTGCGATCCTCTTGTTTGTGAGTTCAGGTAAGGATTTTTTAACTCGCTTACTCGTTAATGTTTACCTGCTCACTCATCCAGATCACGTACCCATTAACTCTTACAAATACACCCTCAACCGATGGCACCTCAGCCAGACACTCACAGGTAGTGACTACTTATTCCAATATTTGAGGCAAGACAGCCCCGTAGGGTGATCCCTACCTAGCCCCATGATGTTTTATGGGATGAGGGATTTCCCCTCCACTAAGACCTCAAAGAAATGCTCAGAAAATCTGCAAACATGTTCCTCGTGGTTGGAGATCAGATCACCATTCTTTCCCCTAATGACGATGATAGGTGTGGTGCTGCAAGTAACTTATTTTTGTGGAATTAAAGAGTGATTTGTGATCATGGGCTACTGAGGCAGATTCCATCTCCTCAGCAACCCGCGACCACCACTCATCCTTACAGCGCCGCCCAGCTCATCGATCCTCCGAGCGAAGGCTGCTGTAGCCCTCCTCACTCTTCGACGTGGGATGCTGTAGATGGTAGGAGTGGCCCTGTCGCTTTTTCACAGATAACTGGAACACGTCCTCTGTGAGGCAAGGCCTCTGTATAGGTTTAAACAACGTACCCAAAGCAGCCATTGCAGCTGTATGAACCACAGTCCTTAAACCTTAACCATTTATCCTAGTCATCAGGAGGATGGGGGGGATGCCAACACCAGCTGCCAGCGATGATGCAATTCTCACTTTCAACGTTCATCAGCTAGCTAAGACCAGGCCACTGTGGGTTTGAATGGGGTCCAAGGTGGACACCCACCACTACAGTGGAAGAACGGTTGGAGCATTTTACAGATGACAAGTCAATGGTCAGTGGGCAAATCAGTTGTACGGTAGGTCCTGGTGTCAAGGACATGGGTCCACATCCATTGTTGTCACTATATAAACCAGCACACAAGCTTAATTTGACCTTTAATTCGTGGTTTCTTGGTAATTGAATTGAAGGTGGAGGGGTCATCAGCCCCTTGCACCCACCATAGCCCCGGTTTGCCACTGCAGTGGCTGCAAGCACCATGAAGGGAATAGCTTATGGGAATTGGCCCTTTCCCCATGGCATTGCTCACAGCCACAACAGGGTTACCATCCGGCATCATCGAGGAGGTAGGGGTTTTTTATACATTTTATTTATTTATTTTTCCTGCCTCAGCAGCTCTCCCGCTATATTTTTTACCTGATGATTATTGCTTGTGTTGTGATCGAAACGTCGTAATATTGTTATTATTTTTAGTAGTTTTCTATCTACGTGGCTTTATTTTTTTAAACACCCACTCTCTCACCCACTCACCCACCTGCACAACCATTCACCTACCTATGAGATGCTTTTTTATATGCGCCTGATGATATTGCTCCTGCAAATGATAATGCAGTTGCTTGCTGTGGATTATGATGATGCAGCTCATAGCTCTGCTGATGTTACTGTTGATGATTATGTTGCTACTTATGCCGCTGCTGCCAACGATTTTTCTCACGATGATTTTGCTGCTGCTGCTGCTGCTACATATGCTTCTCATTCTGATGATGTTGATTTTGCTGCTGATGATGGTGGGGTGTGACCGTGTGCCGCGACCCAGCAGCCGCGGCGGACACGGCGTGCACGGGCCAGGGCGGCGAGTGTCTGGACTGGCGCTACACCGTGTGCCTTGCAGGGGTAGCCACGAACCTCTGCAGCGGGGACTCCAACCGCCGCTGCTGTCTCCAGTGCAACTCGGCCTGTAAGTGGTGGGACCCAGTAAAACACCAGGGATCAGCGGTTACAGGGATCAGAGTTTTGAGACCGAGGACCAGATATTATAGTCCTGTGACTGGGGTTCAGGATTAATGTCTCGAGTGAGCCATAGTATCAAATTTAGGGTATTGAAAGAGTCTCAAATAAACTATGCTTCATCATCAGTCTTCAGACCGAAAGTTCAAGGTTCGACGTTCTGAGACTGGGTCTGAAGGTGATTCAGGATCACAACCCTAAGACCAGGGATCAGGGTAAGAGTTTTGAATGAGATTCAGTAAGCCCAGGTCTCAAGGATTAGAGTGTCAATTCAGACTTTATAGAGACCAGGTTTCAAGGATTGGATTGCATCTCTAGTACAGGGGCCTGTGTGTGAAGACATTGCAGGACCACACCTGTACCGTCACCTCGTCTATTTGATACCCAATGTATTTCCCTCAGGTTTATCGAATGAGCAATCATGGTCGGCCAATGATGGACAGTGCACCGACATGGGTGGAAAGTGTCAGGTCAACTCCAACTACTGCGGAGGCAGCTACTCCTCGGGGTTGTGTGGGGGGCCCAGCAACCGGCAGTGCTGCATCGAATCTCAGTCAGGTGAGGGTGGTTCGTAATGGCCGTGTCAGAATACACATTATTGTGCTGACTATGCATCTACATTGCCTTTTTTTCTCACTATCACAACTGAGCCGTGCTGGGGCTGTGCAGAACCAGACTAGCCTGTCTCAGTAGGCGCCAGTGGTGCATAAGCCGAGCCGTGTCCATGTCGCTGACGTCACATGTATGTATGTTGTTGAACTTCTTTGGCACCGTACATAGCCAACCATGCTAATTGGAGGTGAGGAGGAAGGACAAGAAACTAAACACAACAAGTGGTGAACAAGCGAAGATGCGTGTAGGTGACACAGGGATGCCATGTCCTCATGACCTAGTGAATGACGTAACACGCATTGAATGTGTTAACCCAATGATGAGTGAAACTGTGGTGCATTGTGGGTAAATAACTTATACACACTTTTTGTGACTGATTAATGAGGTCCTCGTTCAGGTCGCGGGGGTTAATTTGGCCATGCATCACGATAACGATCATCAGCGCGGGTTGGCAAAAGTGGGTTGCATGCTTATAGGCGTGGGAGCATGATTGTCTTGTAAATTGATGCAGTCTGCTGCTGCATTGCACCACGTGACACTTCGGAAGGTGAAGGTACAAATACTGACTGTGACTGTGGGTTGGTGATTGTGTTCCCATAGGAGGGAGTGGAACCGGTTGCTATGGTGACCTGATGAACATTGACACAACGGGAGCTTCGATTAAGACTGCCAAACAAGACAAGCTGAGCGAGAGGGGTGAGACGAGTTAGCGAGCACTCATTAATAATTGTTGCGACTTCTAATGCACGCCACAAATCATTTTCTCAGTCTCGAAGACAGAAAGACATTGACTCAGAAGCACGAGGAGGAACCATAGACGAGTGGAAAGGCAGTATCAGCAATGCGGTGATGAGTCAGCAATTACCCAAGATCTGCAACTATATATTAAAAGTTTTTTTTCAGCTAATTAAAGAGTGTTAATACATGTGGGATGAACTGGAGTGTCCAGAAAAAAAACCCATGCATGCAAGGGGGAAACATTCCATCTCATACAGATGGAACAGATGGAGTCCAGATTTTTACTGTGCCATGTGCCACCTTCTCATGACAGAACCGGGGTATGGCTCCTCTTTGATGCCCATGGACTTCACAACATTTGTGTGTGGTCCACCAACGTTCTCTGCTGCCTCCACAGATTGCAGGCCACGTGCAACATAGCCACTAACGTTCAGCTAACGCGCAATAGTTGTTAGAAAATGTTGTATATGATTAAAATGATGTCATTGTGTACATTGCTGCTAACCGGCCAATGCTAATAATACTTCATTATGAAAAAAACGGAGCACATTTGTTAATATCAATGTGGCCTTAATAAGAATATATAATAGGTAACATTTCGTGCAATGGTCTTCTTCATAGCACGACATTTACGAGCCATGAAGAAGTGCCATTCCTCAAAAGGCAGTGTTATTTTTTCGGAACGTGTTTGAGTTTTTGGTTATTTGACTGCTATCACAGCATTCGCATCACCAAATCATGTGATAGTAATCATGGTGATGATTATAGATGAGATGCTGTCCTTTATATCCATGTCCTCTACCTTCCTGAGCAGACGGAGGATAGGGGAGAGAGAACATGGCAGGTGAAGATTGTACTGTAGATTAATTCGATAATTAGATGCAATCCGGCTACTAAGGGGAAGTGAATAGCTCAGGCCAGATGGTGGCAGACTGTCATGGTATATGTATGGATCTGTGTAGATGTCTGCGGATCTCTGTGTCAGTTTATGGCTCTCTGTGCAAGTCTATAGGTGTTCATGTGAGTGTATTATTTTCTGTGTATGTCTATGGGTCTTTATGCAAGTCTAAGAGCATGTGGTTGGAGACTGTTGGGCAAATCTTGCAGGTGGCTCTGTTGTCTTAACCGTGTAGTAGCTGTGAGATCTGGTGGAGGATAGAGAGGGTCAGTCGCAATGTTGTGCACTAGTGGCATTAGCAGCTTTGGCATCTATGATGTCTCAGTCTAAAGCAGGGGTGGGGAGCGTCCGGCCCGCAGGCCGTATAAGGCCCATGAAATCATTTGGTCTAGCCCTGCCAAGGCAACCGCAGGCGGGACTCGAAATTCAATAAATCTAGGAGCTTTTTTCATGGCAACATAAATTAATATTAAGTGAATCATAATAATAACTTAAATTTTGAGGGACAAGCAAGGAATGTCCGTTACGGGATAGACAGGACACAAACGAGTACATGACAGGACAGACACATATGCTTCTCGTCGTCTGCCTGTATTGTGGTGACTCAGAGGACAGTCAGTGCCAGGCAGGCTGGGGGTGTATACGTTGCGAAACTTTAACACACTGTGGCGAAACTACGGCGATCAGGTGACGATGAGACGAGATGCGATGAGATGATTCCTTGCGACGTTGATGACCTTGCCTCTGATGATTGACGACGATCTTGTCGACTTCTTTGTCGACACAGACGATAACTCCAATCCAACCTTTATCCACACGTCCACGATCAACAATCCTCGCAAAAATTAATCTCTGATTAAGATTAAGGAAATTACAGTACACAGAAAAGACCTCAAGAGTCAATGATACGGACGTTGGATATGTTCCAAATCCAAGATCCAGGATTGAAACAGCGATCAAAGCAAACTCAAGTTTCATTTATTAGGTATAGCCCTGTGAGCCATGCGGCTCTTGAGTCGGGTGCAACCGCAACAAACTAAATATGAACAGAGAACATCTTAAAGCGACGATGTGCAACTAAAACATCCTGGATAAACCAGCAAATCTTCCAGAAAAAAAACCACGGTATTACAACGCTGTGTGCAAAAATCCCAGTGTGATGCAAATCAAGCAACAACCATAAGACAATTTAGATTAAAGTTATCAGGCCAACTCCACACTTCCGCAAGAAACATGGCTTAACCAAATGTTTTCTAAATCACCACTATAAAGCTATAAAAACAATGCAACAACAGTGACCATAGGAACTGTGATTCAGATTTAACAATAAACGATATACATAACATGTACGACCAAACTTGCAGCCATAGCTGGCAGCATGAGTCACTCCCAGTGTATGATGAGTGAGTAAGTCAGTGTATGATGTGTGAGTGAATCAGTGGTAGTGTGAGTGAGTGTATGATGTGTGAGTGAGTCAGCGTATGATGAGTGAGTGTATCACAGCATCCTTCCCGCCATCAATGCCTCCTCCACGCCATCACGGTCTCCTCCACGCCATCACGGCCTCCTCCACGCCATCACGGCCTTCTTCACGCCATCACGGCCTCCTCCACGCCATCACGGCCTCTTCCACGCCATCACGGCCTCCTCACTCACTCTCGCTCGCTCACTCTCGCTCACTCTCACTCGCGAGCCATGGCGACGTTGCTCCCGTCCACGATGGCGTGACGGCCCATCCCGCTCGGTAGCTTTGCTTTACTGAATAATCGTGTCGCTGGCGACATACACACTGGATAGTTATTAAAACGTAAGTGGTGCGACATCCTACAAATGGCGACTACGAAGAAAAGAAAAGTTGATGCAAAGTGTCGATCTTTCCAAGAGAAATGGACCAATGATGATTTTTTTTGTTGAAGTCAAAGGCAAACCTGTATGTATAGTTTGTGACGATGCGTTAGCAGTAATGAAAAAAGCCAATCTGGAACGTCATTACAGCTCAAAACATGTTAAACAATGAATTGGGAGGCCAAAGGCGTCCGGATAAAATCAATGCTCTTCAGCGGAGGTTGGAATCACAACAAGCCGCTTTCACTCGGCCTCGTTGTGACAGAGACAACGTTATTCAGACGAGTTATGTAGTGAGCGAGCTACTCACAAAAAAGCTGAGGCCTCATGAAGAGGGAGAGTTTGTGAAAGAGTGCATGGTGGCTGCTGCGGAGTTGTTAGCACCAGACAAAGTAAAATTGTTTCAGAGTGTTAGTTTGTCTCGGACAACCGTCTCAGATCGGATTACTGACTTAGCACATGATATTGAAAAAAACACTAAAGGATTCTGCAGGAGATTTCCAAATTTTTCTCTCTGGCTTGTGACGAGACAACGGACGTAACAAATACTGCCCAATTGGCCGTTTTCGTTCGTGGGATAACTGCAGAGTTTGACACGCGAGAGGAACTGCTGTCACTGGAAGCCATGCATGGCACTACAAGAGGTGAGGACTTGTTTGAGAGACTTGTTTTATTAATGAAACAACTTGAGCTAACATTGGAAAAGTTAAGTGGCCTTACTACAGATGGAGCTCCAGCCATGGTTGGCTCGCAAAAAGGGTTAATTGCATTTGTCAAGAAAGAACTGAATCGTCTAAGTCTTGATCCAAGTGATTTAATTATATGCCACTGCATCATACACCGAGAAAGTCTCTGTGCACAGTCGTTGTGGCTCAACAATGTGATTTCAACAGTAGTGTCATGCATACATGTTGTCAAAAGCAGAGGGTTTAACAGCCCCCAGTTTAAGAAGTTACTGAATGAGCTTGACTCTGAGTACGGTGATCTTGTTTATCACTGTGAAGTGTGGTGGCTAAGTCGCGGGAACATGCTCATGAGGTTTTAGGAACTGCGGGATGAAGTCAAGCAGTCCATGGAGATTAAGGGAAAACCTCGATTTAAAGCTTTCGTGACTGCAATGATTCATCTTCTTTGGTTCTTTCGGTAAAGTCACGTAGAATGATAATAAAATAATACATTGATAAAATAAAATAACACAATAATATTCTCACGACGTTTCACAGCTTAAAAGGCCGTATCTGAACGTGGCTCTTTCACTCCAGCGCTGTCCTACCAGACAGTCTCGCCCCCCTTCACCTGATGAAGGCCGCTTGTGTTGTGGCCGAAACGTCGTGAGAATATTATTGTGTTATTTTATTTTATCAATTTATTATTTTATTATCATTCTACGTGACTTTACCGAAAGAACCAAAGAAGATAAGGGAAAACCTGTCAGGGAACTCAACGATAGCAAGTGGCTGTGTGATTTAGCGTTCATGGTGGACTTTACCAAGTACCTCTCAGAGCTGAACGTCAAGCTGCAGGCCCCCAACCAGCTTCTCAGCTCCCTGCTTTCAAACGTGAATTCATTTGAAGCTAAATTAAGGCTGTGGAAAGTACAAATCGAAAGGAATAACACGGTGCATTTCACCACTCTGGAAAGACAAAAGCCTTCTACGACACTTGAATATGCTGGTGAATGTGCGAAACTAATTGAGGCATTTAATGAAAGATTCAAGGACGTGAAAAGTAAACAAATGGAATTGAACATCTTTGCTACACCATTCAATGTAGAACTAGCTGACATGCCTGATAACCTACAACACGAAATCATTCATCTGAAAGCTAGGTACAACAACCTCCCACTGCTTGAGTTCTAGAAATGTTACATAAGCAATAATGAATTTCCAACTTTGAGGAGACATGCATTGAAATATGCATCTGTGTTTGGAACAACTTACTGCTGCGAGCAGTTATTTTCAAAACTTACCATCGCAAAGAGTCGACTGCGCTCAAGACTGACTGACGAAAACCTGGAAAAGCAGTTGCGAGTTGCAACATCTTTAATACCAGCTAACATCATCACACAACTCACCATATAGAAGCAGTTCCAGCCATCACGTTAGGGGTGAGTTAATTAAATGTTTGACAAAAATATAATAGGATAATTTTTATATTGATAATTTTGTATGGCCCGTGAATAATGTTATAAATATCCAAATGGCCCTTGGCAGAAAAAAAGGTTCCCCACCCGTGGTCTAAAGCATGATCTTGAATGCTGATGAAGCCCAAGTTGTATTATTCTCCACCCCAGGAGTGGCCGCATCAAAGAAGCTGGTGAACGCCGACCTGATGCGCCTCAAGAACTACAAGACCATCATCGTGGCCACCGCCAATGCCAAGTGCATGGACCCGGCTGTCATCGCGGCCATCATCTCTCGCGAGTCGCGTGCCGGCGCTCTGCTCGTTAAAGGCTTTGGCGATAACGGAAATGGCTTCGGACTCATGCAGGTGAGTCCCGGGAATAGATTGACAATTAGGCCAATCTTCTTTGGTTCTTTCGGTAAAGTCACGTAGAATGAGAATAAAATAATGAAATAACACGATAAAATTCTCACGACGTTTCAGCCACAATGCAAGCGGCCGTCTTCAGGTGAAAGGTACAGAACTGTCGGGACGACAGAGCTTCAATGAACGATGTTAAGATTCGTAGCGACTTTTAAGCTGGTTGGGAGAAGTGAGGCTCCTTGACAAATGGGTTTACATATCAATAGCTAATAGATTAGCTTGTGACTGGTCGCGGAAATGGCTATGTTAAAGTAAAAATCTACACATCTACAGATGCAACTAGCAATTTAGCATTGAAATAGCTAAGGGGTTAGCTTGTGACAGGTCACAGAAATAGATGTTAAAGTAAAGGCCTACACATCCACAGAGCTTCAATGAACGCTGTTAAGATTCGTATTGACTTTTAAGCTGGTTCGGAGAAGTGAGGCACCTTGACAAAGGGGTTTACATATCAAATAGCTGAGGGATTAGCTTGTGACTGGTCACGGAAATGGCTAAGTTAAAGTCAAAACCTACACATCCACAGAGGCAACTAGTAATTTAGCATTGAAATAGCTGAGGGATTAGCTTGTGACTGGTCACGGAAATGGCTATGTTAAAGTCAAAACCTACACATCCACAGAGGCAACTATTAATTTAGCATTGAAATAGCTAAGGGATCAGCTTGTGACTGGTCACAGAAATAGATGTTAAAGTAAAGGCCTACACATCCACAGAGCTCCAATAAACGCTGTTAAGATTCGTAGCGACTTTTAGGCAAGTTGGGAGAAGTGAGGCACATTGACAAAGGGGGTTTACATATCAAATAGCTGAGGGATTAGCTTGTGACTGGTCACGGAAATGGCTATGTTAAAGTCAAAACTTACACATCCACAGAGGCAACTAGTAATTTAGCATTGAAATAGCGAATGGGATTAGCTTGTGCAAATAGCTGAGGGATTAGCTTGTGACTGGTCACGGAAATGGCTATATTAAAGTCAACACCTACACATCCACAGAGGCAACTAGTAATATAGCATTGAAATAGCTAAGGGATTAGCTTGTGACTGGTCACAGGAATGGCTATGTTAAGGTCAAAACCTACACATCCACAGAGGCAACCAGTAATTTAGCATTGAAATAGCTAAGGGATTAGCTTGTGCAAATAGCTGAGGGATTAGCTGGTGACTGGTCACGGAAATGGCTATGTTAAAGTCAAAACCTACACATCCACAGAGGCAACTATTAATTTAGCATTGAAATAGCTAAGGGATCAGCTTGTGACTGGTCACAGAAATAGATGTTAAAGTAAAGGCCTACACATCCACAGAGCTTCAATAAACGCTGTTAAGATTCGTAGCGACTTTTAGGCAAGTTGGGAGAAGTGAGGCACATTGACAAAGGGGGTTTACATATCAAATAGCTGAGGGATTAGCTTGTGACTGGTCACGGAAATGGCTATGTTAAAGTCAAAACTTACACATCCACAGAGGCAACTAGTAATTTAGCATTGAAATAGCGAATGGGATTAGCTTGTGCAAATAGCTGAGGGATTAGCTTGTGACTGGTCACGGAAATGGCTATATTAAAGTCAACACCTACACATCCACAGAGGCAACTAGTAATATAGCATTGAAATAGCTAAGGGATTAGCTTGTGACTGGTCACAGGAATGGCTATGTTAAGGTCAAAACCTACACATCCACAGAGGCAACCAGTAATTTAGCATTGAAATAGCTAAGGGATTAGCTTGTGCAAATAGCTGAGGGGTTAGCTGGTGACTGGTCACGGAAATGGCTATGTTAAAGTCAAAACCTACACATCCACAGAGGCAACTAGTAATTTAGCATTGAAATAGCTAAGGGATCAGCTTGTGACCGGTCACAGAAATAGATGTTAAAGTAAAGGCCTACACATCCACAGAGCTTCAATAAACGCTGTTAAGATTCGTAGCGACTTTTAGGCAAGTTGGGAGAAGTGAGGCTCCTTGACAAAGGGGGTTTACATATCAAATAGCTGAGGGATCAGCTTGTGACTGGTCACGGAAATGGCTATGTTAAAGTCAAAACCTACACATCCACAGAGGCAATTAGTAATTTAGCATTGAAATAGCGAAGGGATTAGCTTGTGACTGGTCACAGAAATAGATGTTAAAGTCAAAGCCTACACATCCACAGAGGCACCTCATACTTGGATGCCAAAGGGGGCTGCAACAACTCAACTGTCATACAGTAAAGCGATGTGAAAAACCTAATTCTAAATTACATCAATATAATAAATGTACTCAATACATTCTTCAATAAGCTGAGCTATTAACATTAACTGGTTATACACTACACTATATAATGAATATAATATAGTAAACCAATAAAAAACTAAAATATTAACTACCTCAATGTTATATCACAATATTATATGGTGAAAAAACGGGTGGATTCTTACCTTCCACTTCAGCACCACGGACAGTTACGTTCAGACGGACGAGTCCATCCATGGTTGGAGAGGAGGAGGAAGGAGGGGAGAAACAGCTGCGAGGCGCTGTTATACTCCATGTTATAAACCATACCATTAACCGTGGTGTGAGAGGTATTAAGAGTCAGTGCCAGCGAAAGAGCTGCGGTCTGAAGGTCCTCGTAAAAAACAATTAATTAAGAACCGAAATGGTTTAACACATCTTTCCAATGGTTACTAAGCCAGAATCCATCTTCTTGATTGTAATTGTCTCTGTGCTTGTAAATGTGGATGACCTCATGAACGAATCTCTCACGGTAGCCGGTTGGTTTGCAAAGAACCTCTGTCTTGGAGAAGTCAATGTCATGTGAACCCACTGAATTATAACAGTGATCTGCCACGGCAGAGGAGTTCGTTCTACCGTGTTTCAAGTCTGCTTTATGTTCGCGGATGCGGTCCGAGATATGTCGTTTGGTTTCTCCAATGTAGCTACTACCACAGAGGCACTTTTGTTTATAAACGCCCGGGTACTGTATGTCTGGAACAGCATATTTTACAGATGGAACCAGATCACGGATTTTATGTACTGTGTTGAATCGGACCTGGATCTTGTGTTTATTCAGGATTTTGGAGATCTTTTTAGTGACCCCTGCAATGAAGGGTAAGGTGATGGTTTTGAGTGGCTCCACAAGAGGATCCTTCTTCCTGACTGGAGTGATGGCTTTGCGGATTGTGTAGTCGGAGTAACCATTAGCTCTGAGAGCCTGGTGTACGTGCTTGAGTTCACTGGTAATGTGTTCCTGGTCGGAAATGAATTGGACTCTATGGTATAGAGTCTTGATGAGTGAGTTCTTCTGGGATGGATGGTGGTGGGAAACCGGTTTCAAGTAAGCAACTGTATGGGTAGCTTTCCTGTAAACAGAGTGGCTCATTGAACCATCAGGTCTCCTTTTAATTAAGACATCCAAAAAGGGTAGTTTGCCATCTTTTCGACCTCCATGGCAAATCTGATGGCTGGGTGTATGGAATTGATGTGGTCGCGGAATTGGTCTAGAGCAGGCTGGCCATGTGGCCAGATGACAAAAGTGTCATCCACGTACCTCTTCCATAAGGTCCATTTCTGATGGCCTGAAATCCGTTTTAGCTAAAGGTCTAAACTTTGCTGTCACACCTAGACACATACCGGTTAATGATATCATTGCCCATGTCGACGTTGCACTCAAGGGCTTAGGCACCATTGGAAAGATGTTTTAAACCATTTCGGTTCTTAATTAATTGTATTTTACGAAGACCTTCAGACCGCAGCTCTTTCGCTGGCACTGACTCTTAATACCTCTCACACCACGGTTAATGGTATGGTTTATAACATGGAGTATAACAGCGCCTCGCAGCTGTTTCTCCCCTCCTTCCTCCTCCGCTCCAACCATGGATGGACTCGTCCGTGTGAACGTAGCTGTCCGTGGTGCTGAAGTGGAAAGTAAGATTCCACCCGTTTTTTCACCATATAACATTGTGATATAACATTGAGGTAGTTTATATTTTAGTTTTTTATTGGTTTACTATATGATATTCATTATATAGTGTAATGTATACCCAGTTAATGTTAATAGCTCAGCTTATTGAAGAATATATTGAGTACATTGATTATATTGATGTAGTTTATATTTAGTTCTTTCACATCGGTTTATTATATGATAGTTGGGTAGTTGCAGTTCTTTAGCGTCAATATACTAAATAACATCATGCTAAGCTCCCAGTTACATGCTAATTTCTGACCTTAACATCTTGCTAATCTCTCACATTAACTTAGCTACTTCAATGCTAAATTCTTCTGTTGATATGTAAACTCCTTTGTCAAGGCGCTCTGCTCCTCCCTCCTGGCTTAAAATACGCTTTCAAGCTTAGCAGTGTTCATTAGAGCGCTGTCTTTCGGACAGTTCTGTTTCTTCACCTGAGGACAGCTGCTTGTGTTGTGGCCGAAACGTCGTGAGAATTTTATTTTATTATTATTTTATTATTTCCCTTCGACGTGACTTTACCGAAAGAACCAAGAAGATGAGTGCCTACCTTATTACAGACTAATTAAGACCTTATTGGTCACCCCGTGCCCTTGTAAACCTCAACGTTCATCCTACAAAGTCGAGAGAGAAACACAAACAAATAGACAAAAATTACGTGACTAAACAAAAATAGTTAAATGTATTAATTTGGATAATTGGTGTCAATGTACCATGAACCCAAGTCACATAAGTTTGCTTCCAGCTCATGACACCTACATTCTGAGTTAATATTTTAGAACTGGTCCGGGGCATCCCCTCGGTTGACTATTTTGTAAGGTGTGTATGCATCAGCACTAGCAGTTGTATGTGGTGCTTGCTACACCTCCCCATTGTGTGCCGGTGCGGCCTTCTTAGGTGCTTACTAACAGAACTTGCCCAACAGTCTGTTAAAGGCTATATGGAGCATCGGTGTCTTTGTCCAGGTGGACAAGCGCTTCCACAACATAGTGGGCACGTGGGACAGCGAAGACCACTTGAAGCAGGGCACGGGCATCCTCATCGACATGATCAGTGCCATCAAGAAGAAGTTCCCTAACTGGACCCAGGACCAGCAGATGAAAGGTCCCGTAAGAGCACCAGCAAGAGCACCTCTTCACAAACATTAACAGCTTCTCTTTCCAATGCACCACCATCCACTCTCTGTGCCACCGACATCAATCTGAAGATGGAAGGTCCCTGACTACAAAACCTCTCTCACCTCTTCTCAAGAAATAATGACCTTTTTTCGGACCAAAGACAAAGATCTGCCGTGTTGTATATGTCGGGTCTTGAAAATTTTAATAAAAGTAAAAAACGTAGATGAAGAAAAAAATGCATAATTAATTAAATGCATAATTAATTTATGTAAATATGCACGTAATTTATGCTAAGTAGGAGGTGTAATAAAATTAAGTTATTCAAGTGTAAGTGATTATGCTAATGTATGCAAATATGATCATTAGGCTCGGCTTCGTTGTCATGGGTTGTTTTATCAATCGAGATAATACAATGAATTGTATGAAGTTATGCAAGTGTAATGTATATATGCTGGTTAAGCTCGGCTTCGTTGTCTAGGTGGTATTATCAATCGGGATAATACAATGATTCTCGCTTTAACATTTACTGATTATGTTTTAGTGTTTATGTCAGGTCTCAATATTCAGATCTCACCGCAGGATACAGTTCTTATAATTAAAATTATTATGCATGAACTTAGGAAGGCACCACTCAGACACTTATGTGTTAAGCAACTTGAATCTCTAAACAAAAACATGAAACTAATATGAGAACTCTTATGCTAGGAATGGCAACACAGTACTCCTGGAGATAGCCAGTCGTCTTGCCAAGTACCATCGTCTTAGAGAAAATTATTTCATGTGAGCCAGCCGCATTAAAGTAATGATCAGACACGGCAGAAGTATTGATCCTGCCGTGTTTCAGATCTTCCTTATGTTCACGAACACGGTACAAGACATGTCGTTTGGTTTCTCCAATGTAACTGTTGCAGCAGATACAGCTTAGTTTGTAGACGCCGGGATATTGCATGTCAGGAATATTGTCCTTCACAGATGGGATTAGGTCATGAGTGAGTTTGTTGGCCAGCACAACGACTGGCTATCTTCGTCTTCCAGGTGGCGATGTTTTTACACACCGCACCAAATACTGATTTGAGGCTGAGTCGATCTAGGGGAGGCCCAAGACCGGTTCAGATAATCGTCACCGGTGTTGGTGGCCGTGAGCAGGAATCGAAATTGGGTCGCCGTGTTGGTAGCACAGCGTCGCGCTAACCGCCGCACCACCACTCCTCAGACCACCACCATGAACAGCGGCAGCAACACGTTCAGCATTTCATTGCAGTTGTCTCCCCACCTCCTACTCTTGACGTCCCCTCAGCCTGTCGCCATAAACAACATTGTAAAGATAATCTGCAATGTAAGCAAAACTATATTCTTCCCGTCTCAAACCTCTGCCTACCTCGCTCATCCCCTCTCACTACCAGCTTGACTGGTGAATGATACAATATGGTGAACGGGCATTGGCAAGACACAAAGGCGACCCAGTATTTATAAAAAACCAAACAATAATAGTTCGCATTATGTCACGTGGACAAATTGAGCATACAGTACGTTGCTAAGTAAGTTCGAGGTGTAAAATGTCCCACAACATGAGCATTTCGTTTCATATATATGTATATAGGATGATAAAAAATAAAAGCGGGTAAACCATTTGTTTTTTTCATCATCTTGATACAGTATTGGTACGATGGTCCCATAGATATGTACATACTGTACGTATGCATGTATATAATGTGGAGTGGTGGGATTAATGTATAATTGTGGGGAGCGGTAGCACAACGGTTAGCACATTTTTGCTAAGAACCCTGAGTTCGATGGCCGCTCACAGCGCACATTTGTGAATAATATTTGAACCGGTCCTGGGCCTACCCTAGGTCGACTTAGCCTTAACATAGTCCGTGATGTGGTCTGTAAACATCACGATTGGGAGACAAAGTAGCTCGGCGTAGTACTGGCGAACCGGATTTGCCCTAGTTAAATGTTAAAGAAAAGCTCTTTGTGTATATATAATATGTATGTTAATGCATATTCAATGTACATTTTATGTGTATATGTATGTGTAATACAGAAGACATCTTGGCATATGACATACGTCAACACGGACATCACTCTGTGCACATTAACACATGCAATGCATTTTTACATGTGCAATGTATATATGTGTGTATACAATGTATAAAATGTATGTAATGCACATGTATGCACAGGAGGCATCTCGGCATATAACGCTGGCACGCGGAACGTGGGGTCGTATGCCAACATGGACATCGGCACGACGGGCGACGACTACGCCAACGACGTGGTCGCCAGGGCCCAGATGCTCCGTGACAACGGCCACTTCTAGACGGGGGGGGGGGGGGGGGGAGAAAGTCTCAGAGGCACAAACACAGAGATGAGCAGAGACAGCCGAACAAAGACTGATTCCTCTGTATAGCCTTTGTATGTATGTTGAACTTATTTCGCACCATACATAGCCAACCGTGATAATCGGAGGTGTGGGGGGAAGAACAAGTAACTAAACACAAAAAGCGGTGCTAAATCATTTAGTTTAAATCTAGATTTAGCAGACTGGTTGGGCAAGTACTGTGAGCGAGTAGCATTTATCATCCATAATAGCGTTTTTTTGGGGTTAAATCGCGTAAATTAAAAAAAACGTCGTACTCGGATTGTAAATGTTATGGCTTGGCTCTCCAACACACCGGTGTGTTGTACTAGTGACGAATTGGCACGTTCTGTTTACGTGACAAACCTGACTAGTTTGCTGTGTCGGGTGGTGGCAGGTTTTAATGACACGTTTATATATTTACGCGATCTAACCCAAAAATCCTCTTAAGCATTTATGAAGGCTGGAACAGCACACATCGGGGTGGGTGGCCAGCACCATGCTCGATCACCTTTGTCTCCTCAGTGAAGATGTTTACAAATCGTAACAGTTACACATTTGAGGCCGAGTTGACCCAGGGCAGGCTCAGGGCTCGTATAGATAATCGTAACCGGTGTTTGCAGTGATCAGGAATCGGACAGATATGCAAACACAATAACAGCCGCCATTCGCCACTAATGGACACAAACATCTCCATAACCATTGTACCAGGCTAGGTAAATGATGGTCTATTCACTGAAGTCATTTACGAAATTACGTAATTAAAACATACTTTCCATGTGTATGAGTGAACTTTGTCTATATTGTGGGGAGCAGTAGTGTAGCGGTTAGTGCACTGCGCTACGAATTTGATTCCCGCTCACGGCCAACACCAGTGACTATTATTTGAACTGGTCCTAGGCCTCCCCTAGGTCGATTCAGTCTCAAATGTGTACGGGTACAGTATGTAAACATCGCCACTGGGGAGACAAAGGCGGCCGGATGCGGTGCTGGTCACCCACGCACTTGTGTGACGTGCCGGCCTTCATAGGTGCTCTGTTTAGGCTATATGGGAGTCTTTTTCTTTTTTAGTCTCTATATTACTGCTATAATTAAAGGATATATTTCCCGCCATATTAATGTTGTCCTCATTGTGCTATCAGCTACATTGTCTGACTTTGTGTTACATAATGCCTGCCCCACAATCGCATATCACAGAGCTACCTCTGAGATCCCTTCAAGTGACCTCTGGTCTACACAGTTGATGACAGCACGTCCCCAACCTGGAAGAGGTGGGAGTACACACACTTTTTACCCCAGCACACTCGTCCTGGCAATTGACTGTGGTGTACCAAATTATACTGCCGATTTGACAGGCATTAATAGAGGGAGTGGGGGGGCTGGGATTAAATCAACTTGGCCCATTGTTTCCATTGCAACGCCAGGAGATGCAATCGAACCGAGCTGCTAGATTGCAAGTTGGGCTGCAGGTTAGGCGGTGCAGTGGAGACACTTGCACCTCCGTGCAGGGGCACAACTATGGGATAGGTGTGTGCAGCGTTATGTAACGTATAGAGGGGCCCAGGCGGCCACAAGGGAGGGCCCCCAAATCAATAGATGAACAAGTAAAAAATAATAACACGAAGGTTTTCGCATCAAAATTGTAAATGTAGGTTTAGTATCCAACACACCGGTGTGCTGAACTATCTTGAACAAACACAAGATCCAGGTCCAATTTAACACAATGCACAAAATTTGTGACCTAATCCCATCTTTATTCTTAGCTTTTTCGGTAAAGTCACGTTGAAGGGAAACAATAAAATAATAAAATATATACTGTAAAACACTAAAAATTATCACGACGTTTCAACGATAACACAAACGGTCGTCATCAGATGTGTCGGTTTGCATTAATTTATTTATATTTAATCGGTGTATTTATTTATTTAAAAAACGTCAGCGCCATGTGCAGCGATTTGGCAGTTTATTTAGAAGGACTAGTCAATCTATGTTCTGAAAAGAGGAGGGGGGAGACGAAAAATTAATGTATGCTGTCTGAAAGCCACTGTAAGCGTGAACAATCAATTAAGACCTGAAATGGTTAGTACAAAATTCTACTCACCTGGTATCGACAATCAAGGGTATTTCTCTGTCCCCAGACGACCTGGTTGTCAGTTTTGATGTAGTTTCCTTATTCACCAAGGTTCCTGTACCTGACACCATTGCAATCATTGAAGACTTGGTTCATCAAGGACTAAACACTGAGGTACCGCCCCCCCCCCTGGTTAGACACTGTTTAACCAATACATACTTCACTTGGAATGGAACTTTCTACATCCAAACTGAGGGCACCCCAATGGGCTCCCCCCTATATCCGGTTATAGCTAACATTTTCATGGAGAAATTTGAGACTGACGCCATCCAGACTGCCACTCTGCACGCAACCTTATAGAAGAGGTACGTGGATGACACTTTTGTGATCGGGCCACATGGCCGGCCTGCTCTAGACCAATTCTTCGACCACATCAATTCCATACACCCAGCCATCAGATTTACCATGGAAGTCGAAAAAGATGGCAAGCTACCTTTTTTGGATGTCCTAATTAAAAAAAGAGACCTGATGTTTCAATGAGCCACTCTGTCTACAGGAAAACTACCCATATGGATGCTTATCTGAAACCGGATTCCCACCACCATCCATCACAGAAGAATTCTCTCATCAAAACTCTGTACCATAGAGCCCAATGCATATCCGACCAGGAACACATAGGCAGTGAACTCAAGTACGTACACCAAGCTCTTAAGGCTAATGGTTACTCCGACTATACAATCCGCAAAGCTATCACTCAAACCATAAAGAAGGACCCTCTTGAGGAGCCTTTCAAAACCATCACTTTAACCTACATTGCAGGGATCACAAAAAAGATCTCCAAAATCATTAAACACAAGATCCAGGTCCGTTTCAACACATTACATAAAATCCGTGATCTGGTTCCGTCTGTAAAAGATGTGATTCCTGACATACAGTACCCTGGTGTCTACAAACTAAGTTGCCTCTGTGGTAGTAGTTACATTGGAGAAACCAAACGCCATGTCTCGGACCGCATTCGTGAACACAAAGCAGACCTTAAACATGGTAGGACCAACACCTCGGCCGTGGCTGATCATTGTTATAATTCAGTAGGCTCACATGATATTGACTTTTCCAAGACAGAGGTTCTTTGTAAGCCATCTGGCTACCATGAGAGATTCGTTCATGAGGCTATCCACATATACAAGCACAGAGACAATTTCAACCGAGAAGATGGATTCTGGCTTAGCAATCATTGCATAGATTTGATTAACCATTTCAGGTCTTAGTTGATTGTTCACGCTTACAGTGGCTTTCAGACAGCATACATTAATTTTTCGTCTTCCCCCTCCTCTTTTCAGAACATAGATGGACTAGTCCTTCTAAATAAACTGCCAAATCGCTGCACGTGGTGCCGACGTTTTTTTTATAAGTAAATAAATACACCAATAAAAAAAATGCAAACCGACACACCTGATGACGACTGTTTGTGTTATGGTCGAAACGTCGTGATAATTTTTATTGTTTATATATTTTATTATTGTATTGTCTCCCTTCAACGTGAATTTACCGAAAGAGCTAAGAATATGAATTACTGCAGTCACGAAAGCTTTAAATCAAAATTTAACCGCCTCTACGGGGAGGGTTTCCACATAACTTTAAGATCCTTCAACAAACTCTGGGACAAGAAGGCTCAGCTGATCGAGTCTCTCACCTTTCTGAAGAGATGCCGCGACTCTGGAGTAATACCAATCGCATTTACACTGACTTCTGCTGCTGTAACTTCTTCTAATGCGAAACGAATTCTTTTCAAAACGAGCTTAGCTCTTATCTCAGAAAAAATCAGACTTATACGCACCGAACTAGATCAGTTAGACAAGACACTCTACAAATCACACTTATCATTGACGGCAACAATGTCCACATCGGATTGGGAACATGTAGACAATATGACTGCCTCGTCAGCTGCTACTATGTCGACCAAATGTAAGGACAACCTGATTTCCAAATTTAACCTCCTCTTCAACAAAAAACCGGACCCACAAACCAAAAAGTTAGATGTTAACAAAGTCGTAATTAATCGCAGTAACAGTTCTATCTCCGATGGTCTGAATTCCGTTTTAGCTAAAGTTCTAAACTTTGCAGTCACACCTAAACACATACCAGTTAATGATATAATTGCCCAAGTAGATGTTGCTCTCAGGGGCATGGGTCACATCGCTGCAGACGTAGCAAGATCTGAAATCACTGCAACCCTCAAAAACGCTAAGATGCCAGCTAGCAACCTCAGCAAAAATGAGCGTTTTGAATTAAATAAATGAAAAAAGAGGGATGACATTGTAGTCCTCTCAGCTGACAAGGGCAATGCTACTGTCATCATGGATAAAAGAGAATACAACAATTAAAGAATTACTCGACGATGGTAGTTATACAAAAATATAAAGAGATCCCACCAACAGCCTCGTCACACAAACCAACAAAATAATTTCTGATTCAACCGCATTAATTGATCAATCTAAACAGTTTTCGTTGAAACCTTCTGCTGCCAGGCCACCAAGATTATACGGCTTACCAAAAATACATAAAGTAGATACACCCCTTCGTCCCATCGTCTCTACTATCAACTCCCCCACCTACAAACTGGCTCGTTTCTTGTCTGAAATCCTGCGTCCTTTCACTGGAAAAACCACCTCTGCGGTACAAAATTCTACTCACCTGGTATCGACAATCAAGGGTATTTCCCTGTCCCCAGACGATCTGCTTATCAGTTTTTACGTAGTTTCCTTATTCACCAAGGTTCCTGTACCTGACACCATCGCAATCATTGAAGACTTGGTTCATCAAGGACTAAACACTGAGGTACCCCCCTCTGGTTAGACACTGTTTAACCAATACATACTTCACTTGGAATGGAACTTTCTACAAACAAACTGAGGGCACCCCAATGGGCTCCCCCCTATCTCCGGTTATAGCTAACATTTTCATGGAGAAATTTGAGACTGACGCCATCCAGACTGCCACTCTGCGCCCAACCTTTTGGAAGAGGTGGATTTGGATGACAAGTGGATGACACTTTTGTCATCTGGCCACATGGCCGGCCTGCTCTAGACCAATTCCTCGACTACATCAATTGCATACACCCAGCTATCAGATTTACCATGGAAGTCGAAAAGATGGCAAGCTACCTTTTTTGGATGTCCTAATAAAAAAAGAGACCTGATGGTTCAATGAGCCACTCTGTCTACAGGAAAGCTACACATACGGATGCTTACCT